GTATCTTAGCAAAGAGAAGGGATAGAGATATATGTTTGTTCTTTATATCATCTAGAAACATTCATTATAGTTCCTGTCACTAGTCCTTCACATTTCCAATACCTGACAAGTTTGACATAGGAAAAAATGGGGGAAAGGTAGATGAAAGAGTTTCTATCATTTTGAAAATTGCATTATAAAAATTAAGGTGTCTATCCCCTCCAGGGATTTCTGTAAAGTGTCCAGAACAGTCTAAATGAAATGAAGTTTGACAACAGTATAATTCAGTTTTTATTTTTTGCTCTTACTTCCACATCCTAACTCTATCCCACTTATTTCTTATTGATTATTTTTGGAAAATAGGGGATCCTTTTTAAGGAAAAGAGATCATTTAATGCAGTGCTCCGCCTGTAAGCTCTTGTTTGTTTCTTAAATCTTGAAGAATCAGTCTTTGATCATCCTGGAAGTCTTGTGGTATGCTCTACACACACTCATTTTGGAGTGACTGAGATCTTTGTGATTTAAAGGAGAGAAGGAAACATTTTAAAAATTGGCTTATGCCAGTCTCTTTACTCTGCAATTCAGTTTTCTTGTATGAAGGGATACACAGTTTTCTCATATTAAGGGATACAAATATAGTATTGCTAGTTCACCAAATTGAATTATCATTGTCCTAAACATTTAAATTTTCCTTTAGTTTTGGCTTTTGAAAGTAAGAATTTTTCTCTGTTGCTATACTTCCTTTTTTAGTTTTATTTGCTTCTTACTTGCCAGCCTTTCGCTGCAGTATGATCACTGCCATGGTCACTTAAAGAGGAGATAGTTTTTAGAAGATTAGGATCCAAAAGAAACATTCCAAAAAGGGGAGGAAAAAGCCTTCCTTTGGCCAAATCGGGCTTCTAATATATTTAACCAGTTCCAGAATTAGAAAGCCTTTCTGTACATTTTCTTCTATTTTTCTTGCCTTCTTTTCCTTACGTAATGAAATTAAAACTTTTGGAGCCCACAGTTGACATTTTTCAGAAAATTGAGTTATCAAGGCAGTAATTATTTCACGGGGAGATAAAACTCTCATAGCCCTAACTGTCAAATAGGGCCCTTTTCAGATTTTAATTACAAAATAAAATTAGTCTGCTCTTCCTCGGAATGGTTTGTGAGTGGTTAAACAGAGCTTTTCCCCAATACTGGTGGTCGTCAAACTCTGCTAATTAGCAATGCTGAGAAATTCCAGTTAACAAGGACATTCTCCAAGACTCCGCAGGTTCCCTGCAGTTTGCCTTCATTTCCATAAGAAGATTAAGAGAGGAGGGGAACACACTCAAATGCAGATGCAGAAAAGAAGCGTTTTTTAACAAGCATCATAATAGTAAGATGCTTGGCTAGTTCTCACCTAATTACTGCAAGTTAAACCTCTATTTGCCACTAAGAAGAAAAAAAATAAGTCTACAGTCCCCTATCTCCACAAAATTGTTAGTTGGCTTCAGATATAATACTTGAGGAGGGATAGGGAGAGTTTAGAACAGAAAAATCAATGCAAAAGATTTTTAAATAAAATTGAGTCACAGGCTTTTTGGCTAGGGCCTATAGTAGAACAAAATCAAGTCAGAATATCCCAGGAGTTATGCATTTTTCTTCCTAATTACTAATCTTGCTTTAAAAGTGTATAGCTTTTTGCTGCCCACGAAAGGGAAGTGTTACACTCTCTTTAGATTAAACGTTTTCAATTTTCATAAATTGTGCCAGTGGCAACATTTTAAATTCTGAGAAGATGAAGCACCCTATTCCAAGTGTTTTTTGATTGTCTAGTAGTCAATGGTAGATTGTCTTAGTATTGTAGCTGTCTGTTACAAGCCTAAAACAGTGCTGCTTCTGTCATCTGCTGAGATTGTTATAGTTATTATTACATGTGGGAGCCACTGCTGTTGCTGGACTGAAATCCAGTGGGCAGTGATCTGATTTTTTTAAATGCATATGTTCTTTAAAATCTAATGAGAAAATTGTTTCTGCTATCACCATCTTCTTTAATCTTATTTTCATAGCACATTATTATGTGTAAATGCCAGCCGCAGTTAGTTTATTGCCTCGATAAGTACAACAGGCTTAATTAAAATAAAGCTGCAAATAAATGCAATCAATGATAACCCAGTTGTATTTCCATGGCTTATTTATGTGATAAAAGCAATTAATAAAAGACCTAGCCAGCCCCTTTAACCTCTTAAATGCATTATTACAGAGTTCAGGCACAGACATATGCATCTGGGGATGTGTAAAAGCTGTCATAGATCATCTCAAGGAAGAAACTGTGTCTCGAAAGAAAGACAGAGAGATTTAATAGATTTGTGTCTACAATCATCCATTACTGATAGTTAGTTTAATAAATGTATATCACCATTATCAACATCAACTCCTTGGTCATTTCTTTAAACTTAATTATCATAAGCCTTTAAAAGTTTTTGGAATAATGCTAGTAAGTAGAACAGTGCATACACAATCATTAAGTGAATGCTTGGTCTGCTCTTCGTGGAGTCTGAACAATATAATTCATTTATATGTTGAATCTCATAATTTGTATCTGTTCTTTCGTGGTTTAACTTCTCACTTATCTTGAGTTTGCATGTATACTTTTAAGTTAAGCAAATTAAATCTGATTCTTACGATTTGGTTCCAAAGGTTATATGATATGTTAACTTTTCTTTTCTTTGGTTTATGTACAATTAGTTTGATCTTCCATCCCCCTCATTTTTTTCCTTTAATTATTTCCAAACACCTACTTTTAAAAGGTAAAAGTAATAGTCTTGGAAAAGTAAATGTACCAGCAGGGGGCGCACCAGCCACATCCCTGAAACGAGCCGGGGCCTTTTTTTTTTTTTTTATTGAAAAGCCGGTGGCCGCCTTTTCTTGCCCAAATTCTGTACACCTTTTCTTTTTCCTAATCTTCAGGTCTGTGTTTAGCTTAATATTACACCTCGATGAAACATAAAGCATTGCTTTATTTTGAAGAGTACCGAATATTTATGCGTTTTGTGAAGATCAGTGTCACCCTTTCTGGGTCCATAACTTAAGAGAAAGGGAGAGCCTTTGGGATGAGGGTGGTGACGACAGACAAGAAATAACAATTTATTAAGAAAAATCTGCAGGATTCTCTTTTCACACCTCTTCTGGGTTTCCAACCGGCATACTTAGCTTGAATTTGACAGTAGCAGAGAGAGGCCTTGAAGGGCAGAGATTGGAGAAGTTGGGGGAGGAATGGGGAAGGGCGTTGTGGGAAGAAGGTTAGTAAGGAACAAAATAGTGCACAGTTTTGTAAAGATAATAAATGGAACGTGGCTGGTAGATACTATTCAGTACATTTTCTTAGAGTGAGGAAGGGTAGATCAGGGGAGGAGGGGGCGGAGAGAGTGTTACAGAAGAAAGAAAATAAGTAACCCTGATGGTTTAAGCCCTTTATAAAAAAGAAATGGCATCAGGGTCCCCCCCCCCTTTGTAGTCAAGTGCATTTTAGCCACAAAGATCCCAACAAGAGAGTGGAAGGAAACTTAGACGAGGCTTTGTTTGACTCCGTGTAGCGACAACAAGAGAAACAAAACTACCTATTTGTAACGGACGTGCTGCCATTGCCCTCCGCATTGAGCGCCTACCTATTGAAATCTTTACGTCCGGACAATGGGAGAACGGCTAAAATTACCCTCTTGGGTCCTGGGCGGGCAAGATTCCTGAGCCCCTATCCCCGCCCTCATCCCATCCTCCTCCAGCCCGGGCCTGGCTGGGCTCCCCCTTCCCCTGTCCTGGTCGCCTTCTCCCCGTGCGCGCCGCCTGCACCTGTGCCCGGAGGGCCCCGCCCCGCCCCCCGGGTCCGCAGCCCCTCGGCAGCGCAGCCCCAGACCCGCTCGGCCCCGGCTTGGCGGCCACCACGGTAGAAGTTAGTGGGGGGAATGCCAGGGCCGGTGCTGCTCGGGTCCTGGGAACTCGGCGTGGGAGGAAGTTTGTGAGTGCGGCCCTGAAGTCACCTCTTGTGCAGTGCCATGGGATGCCAGGAAGTTGAAACTACCCTCCCCCAGGGCCTGCACTTTTGAGCGTCCTTCTGGTTCTCTTTCCTTCACCAGCCAGCATTTGAAACCCGCACAGCTGAAATCCTTCTTTGGGGGAGGCTAAGGAGAGTGGGGAGAGGGGCAGAGTATGAGCATCCCCTTTGCAGCGACTGGAGACAGACTTGGGGGAGATGTGGCTGGGGAGAGAACAAGCTCTGGTGTCCTGGGCCAAGAGCTGAGGTGCACAGGGAAATGGCAGTTTCCCACCGGCCCTGCTTGTCCTCAGCTCTGGAGTCGGCCGCAAGGTCAGAGCAGAGTTTATTTTTAAGAACAGGGCAAGGTACGTGGAAGCCGGGGTTTCGCGGACAGACGTCCGGGTCTCCTAACTTCCAGTCGGGACAGTGTGAGGAGCGAGTGAGAGTGGTGGCACCTGCACAGGGGAGGGCGGGGGCGAAGAGCGGACTAAGGGGGACGCACTGGAGGAGCTGGAGTTGGGGAAGTGCTGCGGGTGCGCGGGAGAACAATGACACCAACCCCGGCACTGCCCGCTTCCAGAAATACTAGTTGGACCGTCGCCCTGAACCACCCACTCTGCCCTGCCCCACCCCCCACCCCACAGCCGCCTCCGGCGCCCCTTCCTCATTTCCCTAGTCTGCACCAAAAAGTAAATCAATATTAAGTTTAAAGAAAAAACCCACGTAGTCTTAGGGCTGTTTACCCACTTCCTTCGAAAAGGCGTGTGGTGTGACCTGTTGCTGCGAGAGGGGATACAAAGGTTTCTCAGTGGCTGGCAGGCTGGCTCTGGGAGCCGCCTCCCCCTCCTCTGCCTCCCCCTCCTCCCCCCGCCTCCCCCGCGCGGCGGCGGCGCGGCAGGCCCCGCCCCCTTTCATGCAAAACCCGGCGGCGAGGCCGGGCTCGAGTGGAGGAGCCGCCGCGCGCTGATTGGTCGCTGGAAACCCATTTATTCCCTGACAGCCCCCGTCACATGGATGGTTGTCTATTAACTTGTTCAAAAAAGTATCAGGAGTTGTCAAGGCAGGGAAGAGAGTGTTTGCAAAAGGGGGAAAGTAGTTTGCTGCCTCTTTAAGACTAGGACTGAGAGAAAGAAGAGGAGACAGAAAGAAAGGGAGAGAAGTTTGAGCCCCAGGCTTAAGCCTTTCCAAAAAAATAATAACAACAATCATCGGCGGCGGCAGGATCGACCAGAGGAGGAGGAGGGAAGCGCTTTTTTTGATCCTGATTCCAGTTTGCCTCTCTCTCTTTTTTTCCCCCAAATTATTCTTCGTCTGATTTTCCGCGCGGAGCCCTGCGCTCCCGACACCCCCGCCCGCCTCCCCTCCTCTCCCCCCGCCCGCGGGCCCCCCAAAGTCCCGGCCGGGCCGAGGGTCGGCGGCCGCCGGCGGGCCGGGCCCGCGCACAGCGCCCGCATGTACAACATGATGGAGACGGAGCTGAAGCCGCCGGGCCCGCAGCAAACTTCGGGGGGCGGCGGCGGCGGCGGCAACTCCACCGCGGCGGCGGCGGGCGGCAACCAGAAGAACAGCCCGGACCGCGTCAAGCGGCCCATGAATGCCTTCATGGTGTGGTCCCGCGGGCAGCGGCGCAAGATGGCCCAGGAAAACCCCAAGATGCATAACTCGGAGATCAGCAAGCGCCTGGGCGCCGAGTGGAAACTTTTGTCGGAGACGGAGAAACGGCCTTTCATCGACGAGGCCAAGCGGCTGCGAGCCCTGCACATGAAGGAGCACCCGGATTATAAATACCGGCCCCGGCGGAAAACCAAGACGCTCATGAAGAAGGATAAGTACACGCTGCCCGGCGGGCTGCTGGCCCCCGGCGGCAACAGCATGGCGAGCGGGGTCGGGGTGGGCGCCGGCCTGGGCGCGGGCGTGAATCAGCGCATGGACAGTTACGCGCACATGAACGGCTGGAGCAATGGCAGCTACAGCATGATGCAGGACCAGCTGGGCTACCCGCAGCACCCGGGCCTCAATGCTCACGGCGCCGCGCAGATGCAGCCCATGCACCGCTACGACGTGAGCGCCCTGCAGTACAACTCCATGACCAGCTCGCAGACCTACATGAACGGCTCGCCCACCTACAGCATGTCCTACTCACAGCAGGGCACCCCTGGCATGGCTCTGGGCTCCATGGGTTCGGTGGTCAAGTCCGAGGCCAGCTCCAGCCCCCCTGTGGTTACCTCTTCCTCCCACTCCAGGGCGCCCTGCCAGGCCGGGGACCTCCGGGACATGATCAGCATGTACCTCCCCGGCGCCGAGGTGCCGGAACCCGCCGCCCCCAGCAGACTTCACATGTCTCAGCACTACCAGAGCGGCCCGGTGCCCGGCACGGCCATTAACGGCACACTGCCCCTCTCGCACATGTGAGGGCCGGACAGCGAACTGGAGGAGGGAGAGATTCTCAAGAAAACGAGGGAAATGGGAGGGGTGCAAAAAAGGAGAATACGAAACAGCATGGAGAAAAACCCGGTACGCTTAAAAAAAAGAAAAGAAAAGAATCCCATCGCCCGCAGCAGATGACAGCTGCGGAGGAGAACAGCAACCCCGTCACACACAAAACCCGCCACGCCGGCAAGAAAACTTTTATGAGAGAGATCCTGGACTTCTTTTTGGGGGACTATTTTTGTACAGAGTAAACCGGGGGTGGGCTGGGGAGGGAGGGGGGAATGGACCTTGTATAGATCTGGAGGAAAGAAAGCTACGCAAAACTTTTTAAAAGTTCTAGTGGTACGGTAGGAGCTTTGCAGAAAGTTTGCAAAAATCTTTACCAATAATATTTAGAGCTAGTCTCCAAGCGACGAAAAAAATGTTTTAATATTTGCAAGCAACTTTTGTACAGTATTTATCGAGATAAACATGGCAATCAAAATGTCCATTGTTTATAAGCTGAGAATTTGCCAATATTTTTCAAGGAGAGGCTTCTGCTGAATTTTGATTGTGCAGCTGAAATTTGGGACAGTTGCAAACGTGGAGAGAAGAAAATTATTCAATTTGGACATTTTAATTGTTTAAAAATTGTACAAAAGGAAAAAATAGAATAAGTACTGGCAAAAACCATCTCTGTGGTCTTGTTTAAAAGGGCAAAAGTTTTAGATTGTACTAAATTTTTTTAACTCACTGTTAAAAGCAAAAATGGCCATGCAGGTTGACATCGTTGGTAATTTATAATAGCTTTTGTTCAATCCCAACTTTCCATTTTGTTCAGATAAAAAAAAAAACCATGAAATTACTGTGTTTGAAATATTTTCTTATGGTTTGTAATATTTCTGTAAATTTATTGTGATATTTTAAGGTTTCCCTCCTTATTTTCCGTAGTTGTATTTTAAAAGATTCGGCTCTGTATTATTTGAATCAGTCTGCCGAGAATCCATGTATATATATTTGAACTAATATCATCCTTATAACAGGTACATTTTCAACTTAAGTTTTTACTCCATTATGCACAGTTTGAGATAAATAAATTTTTGAAATATGGACACTGAAATTATGCTTGAGTCTTTCATTTATTCGGATAACACTGTGATTATACATAACTTCCCTGGGGAATTATAATACTGTGCTCCGCCAAGAAAGCGAAATACCCAGAAATACCAAAAACCTCGGTATTACTCGTCCAGCCTCATGTGCTAACGTTAACTACAAAAAAGAAATGGCTGGATGATTAATAAGTACTCTGGAAAAATTGAAATGCTTCTGTCATTTCTAAAATAGAAGCTAGATACTTATATTGTAATCCACCCCCTCTTTTCTAGGCAGCATGAATAAGCATGATGGGGACTTATACTTAAACTGATTTATGCCACTTGTTGCCAGAAAGGATTCAATTCTGAAATTTTTCATGTAGTTTAGCAGATGGAGTATTGAGCCAAATCAGTACCAGGTTGGCTGGTTTTGTTTTCATTTTCTTCACAGCACAATGGTCCTTTGAAACCTAGTTACTGGGGAAAATGATGCTTCTTGTATCAGAGTAATTGCAAACTAGACATGCAAAGTGTTCATCTGCTGGGTGGGTGTTTGGATTACTCTGGCCCTGCTATTGTCTGAGAGGAAACAAGTGGTTTGCTTTCTTTGTTCCTGGACTTCATAAACTTTCTCCTCTACATTTTCCTGTTTAGGGGCAAGGGGAAGCAAAGAACGGCTTGCAGAACTCTCCGACTTATCACGGACATAGTTTCTTTTTTATTATTATTTATTTTCTTTTTTCCTTCTCTCTCCCTCCCCGAATTCCATTTCTTAAATTGGCAGCGCGGGTCCAAGCCTGTAGCCCCAAATCGGATAATCTCTGCAGCTGATAACAAGCAAAACAGAAGCCAGGCAACAGCCATATTAAAGAAGAAAATCAACTCTGAGGTAGATATTTTACTTTGTCCGGTCTAATCACATTTGGAGATGATTATGCTTTTGATCTGTTAACAATGTTTTACTACCGTAGTAGAGAAGTAGGGGGAGGGGAAAAGGGTGGAGAAACAAGATTGGATTTGCTGTCTTCTTTTGCCCTAGGAAAGGTAAAGAAAGGCTGTAGTTGTCCTCGGTGAGAGCGGAGAAGTTGGGAAATCACCTTGGTCTTTGAATTAGCGATGCTTCTGCATCACAGCCGACCCTCGTTTGGGGGCAGCCGGGGAAACTGACCTAGTCAGGGACTTTCCTTCTTTATTTACTACTTGCTTCGCTCGTCTTACCCCACCCATGGGGACCAGGAACCAAGAGTCCGGCATTCTTAAGAGTACGGGTTAGCTACTCACAATTTCAAGAGCTTGTCGTATCAACTTGCTACAACTTTGGAGAAGTTGGAATCCGGCAGCGCCTCGCGCCCTTGAGTAAAGTGCCCGCTTCAGCCACTAAGTTAGCTCATCCCTTGGGCTTGCAGGCTCCCTTCCCAAGAAAGTTATTTCTTTCTCGTGATGTTGCTAATGTTAGTTCTGGGCTGAACTGAGGATATCCCATATTATTGTACTTTTCATTTATTGTGGATTGCTCAGAGTTTTGAGCTGACAGTTTTCTCACATTGGTTTTTACTTATTACTTCTTTATCCTCATTTTTAGGGCAACATTATACTGGGAAGGGACAATTATTCCAGTTACCAATTCTAAGCGAGGCATTTCCCCCCTAATTAATGCAGAGACTCTAAAAGAATTTCCCCTGGCCTGGCTAGCCATTGTAATGCATATACGGATTATTCACGTGGTAATGAGCACATTGGCCAGTTCTTGCTCACACATACGCATAAAAGAAACTTTGAATAAAAATCCAAATGATCGTGCTGGGGAAATGAGGAGGATATTCCTGGAATTTGAGTCAATCAGCTATATAAAATGTATATATTTGAAAAATAGAGATATATTAGAAATATGTCTAGGGGTTTAGGGTAATTGCACTGCTCTGACCTCCTATTTGGGGGAGGAGGGGAAGCCCACAGGATAAGACTAACAGGCAACTTTTGCAAAATACTCAGGTTCAAATATATTGCCAAAGGAAAGAGCACAATATTTTGGGAAGTTGAACTAGCTTTGAATAATTGTCACTGTCTCCATAAAGCAGGAGAATGTCCATTCCCCCTCCCATCCCTCCATACTTCTAAACCAAATAGTTGGAAATGGAAGCCAAAATATTTTGCTTGCAAATATAAATGCTTTTGATAAACTGCGTCTGAGAAAAATGATAGATACATAACTCATGCCATCATTCATTTCATTGGGTTAAATGTGTACCTCAAAAATATCATTGTATGGCTAGATTAATATTAAACATATAACATTTTAATATATTCGACTAACCAAAAAAATAATAATAATGTGATTTTCACAGGAAGGGCAGTTAATCCATAAACTTGCCCAGAGATGGATATCTCATGGTTCTGAAGATAGTTGTAGAGTGTTTACATGTTTTCTTGGGATATTATTCTGCTTAATGAAATCACTTAATTTCCAGTCCAAGGGAGTGAATTTAACTGTTTTGTTAACCTGATACACAGAACAGAAACGTGCAAAAGGATGAGATTATTGTTTCTTCTCTTTGCAATTTTTCCTCTCCCCAAACTCGCCCCCCCCACTTTAAATAAAGAGCGTTAAAATATTTTGCTGAGCTGTAGTAGATTAGCAAGGTTTCTTGCCAATGCTGGGAAGCTGGTATTACAGACTGTCCCAGGGGGAAATGGCTCACATTAACCACTAAATGAATATTTGACAAGGGCTCATTCGGAGGTATTATTACTATAAACGTGTCCCTACTGGACTTTTCAAGGGTCAAAGAGCAACGCTTCAATTAATTATTTAGACTGCTAGTAGATTTGGTTGTAATAGCTGTACTTATTTCTAGAAACCGACACATTCTTACAGGAGGAAAATCTCAGGAGAATCTTCTCATCAGCAACACCTTGGATTAAAATACATATAGAGCCCTCGCATTCTAAAGCTGACTTTTTCATAAAACCTTTTCCTGGGGTGGGGAGGAGCTTTGTCAGGTTATATTCTTTTGTGTTTCATTAAGCGTTTTTGTTTTAAAAGAAAAACAAGAACATAATAATTTATCTTAATTTCCACATGATGTCTGACAAGGTCTTTTAGGGATTTACAATTTGAAGGGAAAGGGAAGGGTGTTTATTTATAACCTTTGCCTTTTCTAAGTAGACATGTCACAGGATTGCAGAGACTACGAAGGCCCTGAATTTAGACAGGGTACACATTCCTGTTTACCAATAATACTCACTCTTTAAAATGGAAGGCCCCATAGGCCAGGTACTCTCAGTTCTAGTAGTCTCAAAGTTGGGGTACAAAGTAGTCCCTTCTCCTCCCTCCCTACCTATTGGTCTGAAGCTGCAAGGTGCAGTGGGAGGGTGAATGTTCCATTTCTGCCCTGTCATAAGTTCCTATGTGGCCCTAGGTAAAATGGTAAGGGAATGATTTTGAGGGTAAGATTCCTTGACAATAATATACATTGAATGAATAAGAGATAAGCTGCAAAAGGTGGGGGGAGTGGGAAACAGTAATTACAAACCCAATTCATTCAGCTTTTCAGAACTTTTGTTGTGGGAGCTCCATTGACAGAGTTTTGAGCTGACAGTTTTCTCACATTATAAAGGACTGATCAGCGCCTCAGGGGGACAAGAAATACCGCTTAACTGCATAGTGATGGGGTCTTCATTTAGAACCATTACAAGAAGAAAATTAAACAGTGCCTTTGTGTGCACAAGGTTTACTTTTCAACTGCTAACAGTTTATAGCTAACTGCTCTGAGATTGAAGTTTGACTATGGTTTGATCACCTGCTGATTGGCACTGCTTATTTATTTATTTATCTGTTATAATTAAGAGAGCTTTCTATCTGCTCCCCTCCTTTATGTCTTGGTCTTAGAGAATTTTTAAAAACAGGTTCTCATATTTTTCTTTGTGGAAGGAGTTTTCTTTGCCACGAGCTTTAGCAGAGACTTGAGTTCACATTCCCCACTTCCCCCCCCCAACCCACCCCTGCATTATTGCC